TGTTCAGGTCAGCTGTCTCTGTGGGTTTCTGTAGCCTGGTCTTGTCCTCCCTCTCTGCTTCTGGATTTCAGTTCTGCTCAGTGTTTAGCTGTGGGTGTCTGCTTCTGTTTCCATCAGCTACTAGATGAGGGCTCCATGATGGTGGATAAGTTAGTCATCAATCTCAGTATCAGGGAAGGGCATTTAAGGTAGCCTTTCCACTATTGCTTAGATTGTTAGTTGGGGTCATCCTTGTAGGTCTCTGGAGATTTCTCTAGAGTCAGTTTTCTCTTCAAACCTATAATGGCTCCCTCTATTGTGGCATCTCTTTTCTTGCTCTCATATATTCATCCCCTGACTCAATCTTCCGGTCCCTCATGTCCTCCTCTACCCTCCTTTTCTCTCCGTTTCTTTCTCTTAGTTCCCTCTCCACTCACTGCCCCCCCCACTCCCCATATGCTCAGGAGATCTTCTCCCTTTCCCCTTCTGTGGGGGACCTGGCATGAATCTCTTAGGATCCTCCTTGTAACCTAGTGTCTCTGGTGGGGTGAATTGTAGACTGGTAATCCTTTGCACTATGTCTAAAATCCATATATGAGTGAGTACATACCATGAAGAACATCTTTGTAATCCAACACATTTTCCGACAGTTTGTAAAGTAGTAAAATGTAACAAGAAGAGTGAATTCTGGTCATGTAGTTAAGGTAGTGTTTCCCAGGGTTCCTCATCTCATAGTTCCCAATTTCTTCTTATATTTCGGTTAAAAAAAAATATGTTACACACCTTAGAGACTTACCGTTCACCCCCAACTTTCCCCTAATGCTCAATTCTCAGCCAAATTCTAGTGGTGTCTCCTCTGTTCAAAAGCTTCAATCTTTTAGTATTTATCTTATTTAAACATTTTGTTATTGCATTTATTCTGGCGTGTGTGTGTGTGTGTGTGTGTGTGTGTGTGTGTGTGTGTGTGTGTGTGTGTGTTCAGGCCATGGTGCTCGTGTGGACGTCAGTTTCCTCCTTCTTGCATGTAGATCCCAGGGATCCATCCTAAGTCTGCAGCTTGCCAGGTACATCCTACTGGCCTCTGCTTTATTAATATTTAGTTTTGGTTTTTGAGGCTGGATGTTACCTTGTACAGGTTGGCCTTGAACTAGCCATGACAACTATGCTCCTGATCCTCTTGCCTGTACCTCCCAAGTAAGGGTTACAGAAATGTGGCACTGAACCTAGCAGTGACAATTCTTCAGTCTTGGTGGGCAGACAAAAAAATTCATTTCTGATCCAGGCTCACAGACAAGATCTGTTTGTTAACACATTGCTGCTCTTAAGCTGAAATGCTTTTTAAACAAATACAGATAATTATCTACCAATCCTCTTTCCATTGCTGCTCGGGACACAGAGGAAGCTCCTTTCTTGTTCTTTGAGGCAGGTGATATTCAGTGGGCATGGAAAGGCCGATGCCCTGGTATTCTGTGTTTCCTATCGCTTGTTCACCAAATGGCACAGTTCAGTGACCTCCGTTTTGTGGGAAAGGGCCAGCAATGGCTGTTGTGAGGAAATTTTCCAAGAGGCTCTGACCCAGAATTTGGCTTTTCTTTTACATTCAACTTTAGCTTTCATGAGTTTTGTAACAGCGCAAAGGCTACTAACATCTCGGAGGAGGGCCTGGAACACTACTCAAACGAGACCCTGCTTCTGAGCTACAGTAGGGGGCAGGTAGTGCCATTAAGTCTCATCCATATGGAATACTTGGCCAGTTAAATGGGGACTTGGGAAGTTGCTAAGCAAGCCCAGGATGGGAACAGGTGTTGATGAGATGTCTTTATGGTGGAAACACCTGCCAGTGAGCAGCCCCCAGATCCAGAGGCCTCATCCACACCAGTGTTTCCCAAGCTTCAGCTACCTGATATCATCTTCCTGTTGCTTTACTGTTTCCCTAGTATTATTCATCTAAGTTTTTCCTCCGCTGGGTAAAAATTTTAAAAGAATACATTAATTGAGCTGTATTCCAAGCGTTTACATTCCTCAAAGCACTCTTTGTGTGTGAAATATAGTTTTAAATACATAACAAATAATAAATTTAAGCACAAAAATGACTACCAGAGTAAAAAGTGAATTGCCTAATGATTGTGAGTGGTGTACACCACAGTCTGGTAGACATTGTCTCCTACCAATTCATCCTTTTTTGAGACAAGGGTCCCTCTGTAGTCCAGGATGGTCTAGAGCTCACTATGTAGCCCAGATGACCCACAGGCCTGGGGGGACCCCCGGCCTTACTCTCCAATGCAGTGGGATTCTAACCATGAACTATCACACATGGCTAGAAATTTCATCTTTGAAAGTCCTGCTTGTTGTATGGACAGCCTGTCCGTTGTACTCTTTATCTGATGTTCTGCTAACGAGATGGTTTCTGGCAGATGCACCTTCATTTTGTGATCCTACATAGTTGTAATACTTGATATTTAACTTAGGTCTATGTAGAGGGTTTGAAATTCCCAATTTTATAGCACCTGAGGATGCACATCTCTTCTCTATTTGAGGTGGCCCAGTTTTGGCCTACTATGTGTATTAAAAGAAAGCAGTTTTGTTAGGCTGCTAAGCCACACGCAGTACACATCAACAACAAAAAACATTACTAAGATAGCATAGAGATAATACTGAGAACATATCATTACTAAGATAGCATGGAGGTAATACTGAGATCATAAATTTGCCGAAATGTGGGGGTCCTGTCATTCATACTAACTTGGAGAACTTAGTGCCTCTTTCTAAAGCATGGAGGTCTTACCTAAAAGCCTTGCTTTGAAATATTTACACTTCAAACCGAAATGGAAAGTTAAATAAGAGTCGAGGAAGCCAGTCTTCTGCTTTATTATATGAAATTTGGAGAATTTAGAGAAGGTATTTACGGTCGAGGGTTTTCCTCTACTTAGCTTTCTAATGAATCTTAGAGGAGACTTAGAACTTTAAATTCTACTCGCCTCTTCTCACCACCTAGAAAGTCTAGTTCTGCTCGTAGTACCTAGCATGATCCCTGGCATACGCACATGCTAGTTTAAATCTTTAACAAGTGAACACTTGCCTTTCCCCTATTGCAGTGTATCTCTGCCGCCCTGTCAGAGGGAACCAGAAAACAGAACACACTGGCTTCTCCCTTTGTCCACAAAGGGGAGCGTGGGGTGGGGGGTGGGCACACAAGGAGCAAATGTTTAGTGGGTAATGCTTGCTCTGTATCTGCTTAGGCTCAGTTGTGAGTTATATTTTCATCTGTAGCTCAAAACTGCATCTCAGCTCTCATCAAAATCACTTTTTAAAAGCTAGGACTTCCATATTTCTTTTTCACAATAAAGCCCTTCCTTTCCTTTCCTTCCTTTTTTCTTATTTTTTTGAGACAGTTTCTCTATGTAGCTCTGTAGACCAGGCTGGCCTTGAACTCACAGATATCTGCCTGCCTCTGCCTGGAGAGTGCTGGGAAGTGCTGTAGTGCCCACTCGATAAATGCTGACATGTTTTCAGTGCAGAACCAGATTCTACAATTAAAGTTTAGAGCGAGCTTAAGCTGGAGTAACTTTCTTTTACAGCTGTCATCTTGTTTCTGACAGATATCTAGAAATTTCTTCAAAGATTCAGAGAAAGGAAAGTGATGGAAATAACATTAAAAAAAAAAGCAGAACTGTGCTCTACGCACATTTGTTTGTCACGCTTTTGGGGGGAGGGGGTTGGGAAAAGCATTTCAGGATTTTCCTTCTATAGAGGAGCGGACAGAATCAGACTATGTAGTGGATGAGCGCGTTAGCTACTGAGTGGCCCTGGCCTCATGCATGGGAACAGGTGAATGATACATGCAGGCCTTCCTCGGCAGACAAGCCCTTGCTTCCCCATCCGTAGCTTGAGGGGCTGCCTGCTCCGCACAGACCCGCATCTCGACAACTCCAAGATGGAAGGCCATCCTCGCCATTTATTTATCCATCCATCCATCCATCCATCTATCCACCCTTGCCATTTATTTACTTACTTATTTATTCATCCTCGCCATTTATTTATCTATCTATCCATCCATCCATCCATCTATCTATCCACCCTTGCCATTTACTTACTTACTTATTTATTCATCCTCGCCATTTATTTATTTATTTACTTACTTATTTATTCATCCTCACCATTTATTTATTTGTCATTAATTAATTAATTAACTTTATGGTGGCCGCTTCCACTCGGCCGAGGGACGTGTGTCTGTCGGACGGATTTTTGAGTCTTGTTTAGCCCGGAGGTCAAGAGAAGGCGCGAGGAGCAAGGGGGAGGGGCGCTTGCATGGCTGCGCCAGGGAGGGGAGGGACGGGGCTGCGGGGGGGGGGGTGACGCTCTCCCGCCCGCCCGCCCGCCCCGCTCCCCGCTCTCCCGCCCGCCCCGCCGCCCCGCCCCGCCGCCTCCCCGCTCCCCGCTCTCCCGCCCGCCCCGCTCCCCGCTCTCCCCGCTCCCCCCGCCCGCCCCGCCCCGCTCCCCGCTCTCCCGCCCGCCCCGCTCCCCCCGCTCTCCCGCTCCCCGCCCCGCCCCGCTCTCCCCGCTCCCCCGCCCGCCCCGCTCCCCGCCCTCCCGCCCCGCCCCCCGCCCCGCCCGCCCCGCTCCCCGCTCTCCCGCCCGCCCCGCTCCCCGCTCTCCCGCTCCCCGCCCGCCCCCGCTCCCCGCTCCCCTCCCGCCCGCCCGCTCCCCGCTCTCCCGCTCCCCGCCCCCGCCCGCTCTCCCGCTCCCCGCCCGCCCCGCTCTCCCGCTCCCCGCCCGCCCCGCTCTCCCGCTCCCCGCCCGCCCCTCTCCCCGCCCTCCCGCCCGCCCGCCCGCCCGGGCGTCCTCGGGGCCGGGCACGTGCAGCCCCTGCCTGGGCCGGGCGGGCAGCCGCGCCGCGGGCGCTGATTGGCTGGCGGGCCCCGTCGCCTGGTGCTATTTGTTGTCGCGCCCCGCGCACTCGACGCAGTCGGCGTCCGGGCGTCCGCACGCACGCGCCCACCGCACGGCACGGCACGTGCAGCCCGTTTAAGCCGCGTCGGCGGCCGCGAGGAGCCCGGGAAGCCTGGGGCGGAGCGGTGAGTGGGCCGGGGCCCTCGCTCCGGGGCCGGCCGTGGCCGGCGTGGCGGCCCGCTGGCCGTGGGGCCCGGCCCGGAGCGGGAGCGGGAGCCCGAGGCGCGGCCCACCGACGCCCGCGGGGCCCACGCCTTCCGGCATGCCGCGCTGACTGCAGGGCCGCCCGGGGTGGGGACTGCGGCCTGCGGGGGGGGGGCGCCCCGGGCACCCGAGGCCCGGAGCCGCCCGGGGCAGCTCGACGCCCCCGGGAGACGCGGCGGGGGCCGCCCCCCTCCGCCCCCCCGCCCCCCTCCGGCCTCCGCCCCCGCCGCCCCGGGCGGGCGAGCCCCGCTCTCAGTGTCACTGTGGGCTCCGGGCAGGGAAGGGTGCGGGGAGCCAGGTGATGCCGGTAGTGCTTGCAACTGGTGCGCAGGCACAATTAAATGTGAGTGATGCTAATCACTTGTACCTGCTTATTTTATGGTGCTCGACCCCTTGTGCTTCGTCTGCGCGGCCTCTGGCCTTCACACCGCAGCCCCGGCATGGGAAGATAAACTCTTCTGATGTGACAGTGACCGAAAAGTGCATTCTTTGCGTGTGTTTTGTTTTATTTTTGAAGGAACCTGTAGCTACCATGGGAGATGAAGATTGGGAGGCAGAAATCCTCAAACCTCACGTGTCTTCCTACGTTCCCGTATTTGAGAAGGTAATAAGACCGTGTAGCAGAGTCATCAAATGTGGGTTTTTATCAGTTGGAAACCAAACTGGTGAGGAAGTTCTAAGTTATTCTAGCCTGTTTAGTATTTCTCGGCATGTGATCTTTATTAACTATTTTACGGGGAATGAGGAAGCTTCAAATTGAATAACGTCTATGTGGTGACTTGGTAATAACAAGCAAAAGCTGTAATTCTACCAACGTAATTCAGATCTCACTGCTTTAGGACTTACAGGTGAAACGTGAGCTTGGACAAATGTGCCTGGGAAGTCTTGACAGATGACTTGTATAGAAAAAAAGAGTAATGATTTGATTGAAAAGTAAGGCACTCAACGAGAATATAGTAGTCTATAAAATGTTAGATTGTTTTTTTCTGAATGGCATTGGGGAGTTAAAATTGTAACTCAGAAGCAACTTTGGGTTTTAGTTTTATATATATCCACATATATAATTAACTTACTATCATTATTACTGGAATGTACCTCATAAGATACTGTTTTTGGCCAGGCTCTGGTGGTGTGCACCTTAAATTCCAGCACTTTGTAGGCAGAAGCAGGCGAATCTCTGAGCTTGAGTCCAGCCTGTCCTGCAGAGTTAGTTCCAGGACAGCCAGGGTAGAGAAATCCTGTCTTGAAAAACCAAAACCCAATACAAAACATAAAAACCTTTTTGCAGAAGTTCCCTCACATTCAGAAATTCCATTTTGTATGTATGTCAGTTCTAATTTTAAGTGATGCTTTTGTGGAAATACTTATTTTATACAAAAATAAAATATTAGTGTTTTGATTTAGTTGTGGTTGATTGATATATGAATTAAAATACCCTAAATAATCTGAATATATAATTCGTTTTGCAGCACTAGCACCTTTAGTGATTATATATATATATATATATATATATATATATATATATATATGTTTTGTTTTGAGACAGGGTTTCTCTGTAGCCTTGGCTTCCCTAGAACTAGCTCTGTGGACCAGGTTGCCCTTGAACTCAGAGATCTGCTTGCCTCTGCCTTCCAAGTATCATAATTAAGGTGTGCCAACACTGACCAGCTTATTATTTGTTTGTTTAAAATAATTTGATTCTCTGTGCATTTGTGTTTTACCTGCATGTATGTCTGTGTGAGGGTGTTGGCCCCCAGAACTGAAGGCATGTATGTCTGTGTGAGGGTGTTGGCCCCCAGAACTGAAGTCATGTATGTATGGGAGGGTGTTGGGCCCCCAGAACTGAAGGCATGTGTAAAAAGTACGGTTTTTCCACCCGCCGCCTGGTCTTGTCCTGCCGCCGCGCCAGCCCCAATTAACACACAAAGCCTCTGTATTTGATACAATGCTGTTGGCCAGGTGCTAGTTTCTTATTGGCTAGCTCTGTCTTAATTATTAACCAATTTCTATGTATTTCCACGTGGTCTTACCGAGAGCGGAGGAATGGCGGTTCTGTTCTCTCCAGGCTCTCCATCTTGACCCCTCCTTTCTACTTCCTCTTTCCTCCTTGTCTCCTAGTCCCTCCTGTCTTCCTTTCCTATTGGTCAACAGTGCTTTATTTATTAACCAGTATGAGAAACATATACAGAATGACATCTCCCATCATCTCCTCTTTTCTGTCTAAAATAAAAAGAAGGGTTTTTAATCTTAGCATAGCAAAATATATAATACAACAGTTATCAAATAAGAATCACAGTTAACATTATTTAGCCCATTAACATTTATTATTATTAAGAAATTATTTTATTATCTATTTCATCTTTGTGAGTCTAAAGTCCTATATGTAACTTATCTTTCATCCTAAGGAAAACTATAAACATAATTATTTGTCTTCAACTCCATCAAAGACCACAGAAGGATAATGTATAAACTCTAGAAATGACAGAGACATCTTGCCTTTGTCAGTCACCTGAAGTTCTTTTATAATCTTCCATCTTAAGCCCATAGGCCATAGTGTGCCTGGCAGACTCCTCAGCAAAGCAGGAAACTTTAAACTGTCTTCTTGTATTGGCAGTTTGTCAGTCACTTTTCTCTGTGTCCTGCAGACTGTCTGGCAGACTCTTCCATGAAGCAGGAACTCTGTAGCAATGTTCATCTTGAATCAGCAGTCACTTTTCTGTGGGTCCTGCATGTCCATTTTATACAGCATAAAGTCAAACAGTCCAGACAAGAGCAGTATCTTGTCCAAATGGCTAGTCTTGCCATATTGGAGGCAAACTCCATAATGAGTTTCTTCAATGTCCATCTTCCTTTCTGACCCAGGTGGTGTTGCCAGGAGCAGTTGTGCCTCATTGTCAAGAAAACCCTAAACCATTTTAAATGCCATATTCTGTAGGTCTTTGAAGGTTTGTCTGTGTGAGGGTGTTGCCCCCCCACCCAGAACTGAAGTTAGACAGTTGTTACACCTCCTCCCATCATTTCTTCTCCTTTAACCTCTAACTTTGGGGATTACAGGCATGGGCCATCAAATCTGGCAAGTTGTTAGATCTTCCAAATGTACTTTTTGGGAATCTCTGTACTTTAATATAACCATGTATCTTGGCTTGGAGAATACTAAATTGGTAATTGTTATGATATAATATCATTGTATAGAGTCACTTTGTAGTAAGTTTCTTATTCTTGTCTTCAAACTTGATGCTTAGTGGTGGTTTTGCAATTAGTAACTTGGCTTACTTGATCTGAAGGAATGTGATATAACCCATGGCTTTGTTGACCTTCCTTGTTGAGGAAAAAGTGCAGATGCCAAAGATAAATAACATTCTTATGGAGGAAAATCTAAGGCTTTTTAATTAGAATGTTTAAAGACACATTTTGGGTGTTCCCAATGGGTTTTCATTCTATTTTGAATTTAATAGTGGTTTTAAAATAGTCTTATGCTAATATCATCTTAAACAGTACCTGTGATCAGATTTTTAATTACCATTCTTTGGGGTATACTAATATATGCTTATATACTTTGAAATATTAGGGCAATGTTCTGATAGCTATTAGAACTTCTCAAATCTAGATTTGTAAAAAAAAAAAAAAAGAGGAGGCCACATAAGGATAGAATAAAAGATGTGAGATTAGAAAAAACTGGTTAGCAATATAGTCCAGAAATCACAATTGTTACACATTTGTTTGTTGTTGGCTTATTGGGATGAGTGTATTAGATATTTAGTTTGATATTTTTATTAATTTTAAGTAGTGATCATTTCTGAGTAAGACCTGTTTGTCTTTTGGGTATATTTTAGGATGAAATAGCTTCCTTAAATTGGAAATAAATTGAGTTACTCTCTATAATTGTAATGTTATTAAATAGTAGTAGCAATTAGTAATAGTTGATGAAATAAGAAAATAAATTTGTAGATGACATCTCAGAATTAACAGTCAGAATATAGGTAAACAGATATGTATTTATCCAAAGTTATTTTGTTGCTACATTGAGAGAATATTTATGGGTTAAATATTTTGAAATTTCTATATCAGTGTGTTTGGGTGGCTTAAGAGACAACCAGTGGTTTTTTGTTTTTTTTTTTAAGTTGTTGTAAAAGCAAATGGATAACATGATCTGTGACTTATTCAATATATTTTTACTTAATCCTGTGTGCTATAAATAATGTTGAACATTATAAAATACTTTCTGTCAAAGGCATTGTATTTGAGGAGACAGAATAAGCACATTTGAGAAACAACTACATGGTACACAGAGCCTTAAAAATAGAGAGGTATTGCGGGAATGAGATGGGAGGATGGTCGGGGAACATGGAGGGAGGGAGGGAGAGGGGACTGGGATCGGTATGTAAGACAAGAAAAAAAAAAAAGAGGTGTGAGTCTGTTAGTTAGGTTTGGGTGGGTTTAGATCTAGTGGAGAGGGATGGCTTCCTGGAGGCCCTAACTTGGGAACCGAATTTCTGAAGGAGTCTCAACAGGACACCAGGGGAAAAGGTCTCAGAAGGGGACAAACAGCATGTTAGGACATTGGGAAGGGGGGAGTATTAGTTTCAGATAGCTGCTTTAACAAGTCTCTGTAAATGAGCAATAGGAAACAACAGAAGTCTGCTCTCTTACTGTCCTTGAAACTCCTTGAAACCAGGGGTTGGAGATCAAAGTATTTACAGGTCTGTCCTCTCTTTGGGTTCTAAGAAAGAATCTTTGTAGCTTCTAGCATCTGTTGCATATGTAGATAATTCTTGGCTTGTGGTTTGTGTCACCCGCCCAGCCCCTGCCACTTCTCTCCATGTGTATGTGTGTGTGCATGTGTGTTTTTATTTTACCTCTCTTAATGACAGCCGAGATAACAAATTAGGACTCAGATGAACATTCTGTATCAAATCCTAATTATGTTATTATGATCCTCTCTCACAGTATTTATTCCAAGGGTTATTAGCACATACAGGATGGGCACAGCCTAGCTTTAAGAAGCTGTTGGCAGTTGGTGGCTGCTAGGGGGAGGGAGGGTCAGTGTTTTTCAGGCATGCGACCCTTGAGAGACTGACTAGTCATGTATATACTGGTGACACTTAAGTGAGTGGACTTGGGGCTTTGTAAAAGTCACATGAAGTTGGGAGGGGAAAATGGTGGTGGTGTGCTGACGAGAGGAATTGAGGGGGAGGGGATGGGAATTGGGTTTGATCATACATTGTAGGCATGTATGCAATTGTCAAACCATAAAAACCACATATGATTTCAGGGTTAGGACTTGATGTCTGTGGGTGTCCATTATGCAGCTTAGATCCACATGACTAAAGCTCAGTGAGTTAAGAGAGTGGTCCAAACTGCAGTCAGACAGCGAGGAAAAGGAAGAGAGGGGCTGAAAGTGATTAGGCCATACACTTGGGAGCACTGAGCGGGACGGGTTTGGGTAATGAAGGGAAGGGCTTAAGGATGATGGGCCAGTTTTATAACTGGAACTATTCAGTCGGTGGATTGCTGTTTCCTAAGAATGATGACTAGGTTTTATAACTCAGTTGGTGAATTGCCGTTGCCTAAAATGGAGCCTCTATGGAGGGTGACCAAGTTTGAGAAGGAAAAATTAGATGTCTGTTATTTCTATGTGAATGCCTTCTATGCCTATGTAGACTTAGACCCTTAAGGATGGCAGCCGAGAGATGGAGGCAGGAGAAGGGAGGGGGAGAGGGTGGAGGGAGGGGGAGAGGGAGGGGGGGGGGGGAGAGGGTGGAGGGAGGGGGAGAGGGGGGGGTGGAGAGCATGGAGAGAGGGGAGGGAGAGGATGGGGGAGGGAGGGAGTGTATGTGATCCTTAGAAGAATTAGGCCCATACTTTAAAAACTTAATAATTATCTGTGTATTAGAGCTTCGGCAAAATCAGGTAGAGTAAGAATGTGATGGAGACCAGATGTGGAGTTGCACACTGTTGGGTCCCAACCCCTAAACCCTCAAAATGGCAGCGCTACTGACAGTGTCCAAAATGACAGTCTGGGCTCAGTGAGGATGGATGGAGGAGCGTTAACATTCAGCATTCCCCAGAAGCCTGTGAATGGGGTTTCTGCCTGCCAGAAGAGCCACCCTTGTCTCTGACAAATGGGCCATCTAGCTCCCTGTTAGCACATGGCTGCCACACATATCTAAGCCCCACGCTAACTTTATGGCTCTTTAGGTACCTAGTAGCAGAACCTGTGACTCATAGCAAAGCCACCCTCCCCGCTACCTTAAACTCCCCGGCTTCTCTCCTGTAACTGGCAAGGGTTTCCACCCTTGTTGCTACTCTGTATTCCCAAGAGGTAGTGTGGGAGCTCTGGACTCCCCAAATACCTCTGGGTATTTTCTCTCTACTGAGAGACAGGGAGAGGGGGGGAGGGAGGGAGGGAGGGAGGGAGGGGAGAGCGAGCACCACTTTTAGCAGTTTTATATTTGCAGTAACCTTCTTCCCCGACACGGAGTTGTCGGGTTGGGTGGTTTCACTGCATCCTGGCTTACACACTCCTGGGAAGCTGAGTCAGGAGGGTCACCAGCTCATAATCGACACATGCTGTAATATATAGATCTTTCTCAAGCGAAACACACATGCCAGAGGTAAAGGCCCTGTGAAATACTGCTGTACCTTTGGTAGAGATGCATGGTAGTGACTTTATGCATAGTTGCTTCTCCTATTAAAAAGCATTTTTGGGTTAGAGGTGAACGTAAAGTTGGGTTTCGAGAAGCTTGAAGGAAACCAGGGATACATGTGGTGGAGGCCGCAGCAGCAGAGATGTGTCCCAAGTGAGGCAGAGGAAGGTAATTGAAGCGAATTAGAAAGTTAAAAGGTTTCCTTTTAAACAAGGGAGACATCAAACTTAACACATGCGTGAATTAGTACAAAGGACATAGGGCATTTTTACCTACTGTAAACATGTACCTGTTTCACAACTTGCCTTGCAGTTTGTAAGTTAAATACACGTGAATATTAAATTCCTTAGCTTGAGGCATCATGTTGTAATAAAATGTTCAGTTTTTTAAATGCAGGAATGTGTCGTTACCGTTTGTTGGTTTAGACACATTAATCCAGTAAGTTTTTTGCTATTTGACTGTTAGCTTCCTGCCCATTGATAAGGCTGGTTGGATGATTGTTGTGGTATCTGGTAGCTATAAATTCAGGCTTTTTTATTACAGCAGTTTTCTAGGGCATTTCAGTGACACTGTTGTGTTTTGCTCTTAATGACAACTTTGGAAAATATCTGGATGATTGCTGAGCTGTGTAACATTTTTGAAAGTCACCTTACTGTCTTTGGAGAGAAAATTGAGAAGTGTTCTGAAGGTAGGCACCTTGGTGCTCTTTCCAACTTTGGCACTCACTTGCGGGAACTTAATCTGAAGGAAGACTGATTTCAATGCAGTCATTTGACTACAATAGTACCTAGACACTCTTACTGTTTACCATTGTTTTGCATGCAGTTATATAGTAGTGTCTTTCTTATCTGCTGTTGGCTTTTCATGATTTCAGTTACCAATAGGTAACTGTGGTGTAAAACTATTAGGTGGGAAATTTCAGAGTAAATAATTGGTGTTTTAAATTGCATGTCGTTCTGAGTAGCATGCTGGAACCTCCCACCATCCCCTTTTGTCTTGCCCATGCTGTGTGTGTACACTGTCTATCTGACGTTATGGGCTATGGCCATGGTCACTCGGGCAGGCCGCTTCAGTCCCCTGACATTGTCAGCGCTCACTGGCGGCTTACTTCTACACTATGTTTATCATTCACCTCCCACAAGAGTGGTGTTGCTGTAATTGCTTTACTTTCTTACTGTGCCAAATTCATAACCTCTATCATAGTACATATGTATAAGAAAAGGTATCTCCTGTATTTTGTGTGTATGGAAGAGGGAGGAGAGGGAGGGAGGTGATGGAGAGAAAGACAGTATGAAAGAATGGAGCTATTACTCACGGTTTCAGGTACTGAGGGTCTTAGGATGAATTTCTCATGAAAAAGGAAGGAAACCTGTACTTTTCTACTTGTGAAATAGATGACACATTCTTATTTAGAGCTGAAAGCTTGGTTCTCTTTACTACAGGATAAACACTCTTCTGGGGCGAATGGAGACACTTTTAACAGGACTTCAGCTTCATCAGGTATGTGTGAGAGCAAGATGGCTTCTCTTTTCAGGGTAAGCATTTGGATAATACGTAAGGAGTTGACTCTGACAGACATAGAGGGTTTTTTTTTTTTTTTTTTTAATTTTCTAGTGGCTATTCATTCTAGTTTGGATATTTTGGATAGGGAAACATATCTAAAGGAGACATAGTGTTAGAGACCATATTATTTAATTTAGTGAGTTGCTGTAAAACTTTTCCCAACCTGAGGGTTGCATATTTGGTTTCAGATTTCTAAAGCATTCTCAGGTCTCCTGATACAACAGAGCAGGATATGGTGAGAAATTAAATCCTGGCAGTAGTCTTAGGCTTTGTTGAAACAGACTGAAATATGACTGCTGCTTTCCGGTGAAAGATTTTCGTCTTCACCATTAATATTTTTACTATTGTGGGCAGTGTGTGTGTGTGTGTGTGTGTGTGTGTGTGTGTGCGCGTGCGTGCGTGTGCACGCAGTGTGTATGCACAGTGTGTGTGCTGTGTGTGTGCGGCGTGCGGGTGTGTGTGTGCAGTGTGTGTGCGCAGTGTGTGTGCTGTGGGCGGGTGCAGTATGTGTGCATGTGCTGTGCGTGTGTGTGCGCGTGCGTGTGCTGTGTGTGGAGTGTGTGCTGTGTGCGGGTGCAGTGTGTGTGCTGTGTGCGGGTGCAGTGCGTGTGCGTGCGTGTGTGTGCGCGTGCGTGTGCTGTGTGTGGAGTGTGTGCTGTGTGCGGGTGCAGTGTGTGTGCTGTGTGCGGGTGCAGTGCGTGTGCGTGCGTGTGCTGTGTGTGTGTGGAGTGTGTGCAGTGTGGTGCAGTATGTGTGTGCTGTATGTGTGCGTGTGTGCTGTGCGTGTGTGTGCATGTGCTGTGCGTGCATGCGTGTGTGCGTGCGTGTGCAGTGTGTGTGCGATGCAGTGTTCGAGTGGTGTAGTGTGCTGTGTGAGCTGTGTGAGTGGTGCAGTGTGTGTGTGTGTGTGTGTGTGTGCGCGCGCGCGCGCACGCGCATGTGTATGCTATGGCATGCGTATGCAGGTCAAAAGACAATGGTGTGGATGGCGTTGGTTATCCTTCTTCTTGTAGGTTTGAACCCTTAGGGCCTGGAACTCAAAGGATCAGGCCTGTACAGCAAGTTGCTGAATGATCTTGCCAGCCCTGATCTTTGCCATTAAAAGTTAGAAAAGATTGACTTATTGTTTATGTGTATGAGTGTTTTGCCAGCACATGTGTAGTGCACCATGGACATGCCTGGTGCTGAAGAGGCCAGAAGAAGGTGATAGATTCTCAGGGCACATGGATGCTGGGAACCAAACATGGCTCCTCTGCCCCAACTCAATGTTTAGTTTTTTATTTTTTTATCTCCACAATCATTAGTGTGCAGTAGGCTGGCACTAAGCACACTCACATTACTTTCATCTTTGCAAACTGAAACTGCTCTCATTAAATAATAGCTGCTACTCCTATCTCTAGCCCCTGGCAACCAGACTTCTGTTCTTGCAGTGAGTCCAAGTTGCTCTCCATGCATTTGAGTTACTGCTCATTTGAAGCCATACAGATGGCAAGGCTGAGGGGCATATTCAGTTTATAATTTCTCTCTGCTTTTAAAATTTAAGGATGAGGTCAAAGTGTTTTATTGTCAAAGCTTTTGGCTTAAAGTGAAGGAACTTAGAATTGCCAAGGTTGTTTGTAGAAAGAGGGGATAAAGCAAATTTAATTCCTATGGCTGTTTAAAGTTCCAGGTAAATGTGTTTATTAAAGTTTGTAAACCTTTGCTATTGTCAAGGAGCACTTTTCGCAAACATTTAAATGTGTTGGTGTAATATGATCCGATTTTCAAAAGCATTTGGGGTTACTGGCTGCTGCAAGTAACAACATTTTCCTTCCTCCTCTATATGAATGCTGAGACCTTTTAAAAATAAAAAAGGCAGATGTGTAAAAGTATACTTCTTGATGTATAACCAGTATAAACCTGGTTCTTTGTGGTATCAACAAAGGGTAGTTTTAGTAAAGGAAGGAAATCGGCAGGCCTATATCTGTGAAAACATAATGCTATATTGTCATGGAATTTTAAAAAAGATCGAAATGACTACCAACTAAAAGCCATAGATATAGGATAAATGAAAGAAATCACATGAGAAATAATTGCTTCTCTGGATAACAAGTACCTTTTTCTGTACTTGTAGTTTTATAGTTTTCAATTAAAATAATTTTCAAAACAGTAATTTAGAATTCTAGTAACATTCATTGTGTTGGGGGCCATGCTGCAACACACGGTAGCTCAGGAGTCCTTTCTGTCCTTTAACCATGTGGGTTCTGGGACTTGAATCAGGTCGTCCAGGCTTGCTGTAAGTGTCTTTACTGATCATTGTGTTGCTCCTGTTTTATGACTGAAAACACAGCCTTTAAGACCTAGGAAGTTTCTTTCTTTCTTTCTTTCTTTCTTTCTTTCTTTCTTTCTTTCTTTCTTTCTTTCTTTTTTTTTAATGTTTTCAGACAGGGTTTCTCTGTGTAGCTTTGTAGATCAAGCTGGCCTCAAACTCACAGAGATCCACCTGCCTCTGCCTCCTGAGTGCTAGGACTAAAGAAAGGTGTGTGCCATTACCACCTGGATGAAAGTTTATTTTCTTATTGCAGTATATTTTAGTCAAGTGAGTGTAAACTAAACTAATACCTAAATAATTCTTATCAACAATTTAAATAGAAATGAAGAAATTAAATTATCCAAAATCTTGGCCGCCAAGTTTTGACCTCACTGATAGTGACTGATTCTCTTTAGATCTCTCTATATACTCTGACACAATTGTACCAGATCCTATTTTTTATTTTATGAATGCATATTTACCTATTTTTTATTGAGACATCGAATTTCTTTATCTGTCCTTGGTTTTATATATATATTTAATTCTGTTGATATTACAGCTGATCTGGTTGTTTTTCATTTTCCCAGCAATGGGATCATATTATTCTGTGTCTTACTTTTAATCAATGATAGTGACCTGGTTAGTTTTTCATGTTGACTTGATACATCCTAGACTTGCTTAGGGAGAGATGCTTAATTGGAGAATTTCCTCAATCAGAGTGGCCTGTGGATATGTCTGTGGGGCGTTTTGTTGATTGCTAATTGAAATGGTAGCTGCTATCAGCTCTAGGAGGTGAATGGGTCTCTAGAAGCTAGTAGAGCATAGGATATTCTTCTACTTACAACTCACTTTTCACTTAGGCTTTTTGTTACCACTTTTCTTGTACTAGAGACTCAGCCTAAGGCCTCATGAATCCTAAACAAGTATTCCAACACTGAGTTACACCTCCAGCCCTATTTTTAACATGCTGATTTAATTTTGTTTTGATAAAGTATTGCATAAGTTGCTAATACTGGCCTAGAACTTATAACAAAGATAGTCTGTGAATTTACTTTTCTGCCTCAGCCTCCCAGGTAGCTTGGCTCTGTCACTTTTCTTTTAGCAAATAAAATCCCTCTGTTGTGTGTGTGGCACATTAAAAAACTTTAAATGTGTATGTTTAGATATATATTTTTATTTGTCTGTTACGAGCAGTTTTTCCTGCCGGTCTGGTCCCTCAGCCATGCCAGCCCCAAATAACACACAGAGACGCTGTATTAGATATAATTCTGTTGGCCTGTTACTAGCATTTCTTATTGGCTAGCTCTGTCTTGAATATTAACCCATTTCTATTAATCTAAGTGTTTCCACGTGGTCTTACCAGAGAGAGGGTCGGGAGTTGTGCTTTCTTGGTCCTACATGTTGAATCTCTACTTCCTGTCTCCTCCTCATCTCCTAGTCCCGCCTGTCTTGCTTTCCTATTGGCCAACAGTGCTTTATTCATTAATCAGTACAAAAAAACGTATTTACAGAATGAGATCCACATCATTTGTCTTTGTTTGAAATTTTACTTGCTTTAGAAATGGAAGATGGACCTTCTGGAAGAGATCATTTCATGAGAAGTGGATTTCCCTCTGGAAGAAATTTGGGGAAATAGAGGTAAACATGGTCTTCTGTAATCTGAACTGCTGACTAATGACATAGGGGCTTTGACTGGCAGTTTAAGGCAAAGTTAAGTGTGCTGTAACTCAGTGGATGGTATGTTTTGTTGGTATAATAGGAGTTAAGTTTTATTTAATGTCAGTGGTATGTTGGGGGGAGGTGCAGAGAAACAAAAGACAGGCGTGCCCAGTTAGCTTTAAACACTATATAATCCATGCTGGCCTTAAACCCACACCAGCCATAAACTCTCCATGTGATATGGTACAGACGGTGTTTAAACTGGTGACCCTCCTTTCCACAGCCTGGTGCTAGCAGCCAGGCCTGTGCTAGCACACCAGCTGAAGCCTGTGTGCTTTAATGCTGTTTTACTTCCTTGGGATAGCTTGTCCACAGCTGCTGCTTAATCCCAGACTTCTGTTTCTAGGAACTGATGTGAGTGTTGTAAAATCTTTGGAGGGTAGAGTAAAAGGAACTCCTTGCGTGTTTTCCTAATGAAAAGCTGCATAGGAGATATTTCTGTTGGATTAACAGTGTCGAGTTTAAGGTGTTATTTTACTTATTTTGAGACTGGGTCTTTTGTAGCCCAAATTGGCTTTGAATTTGCTGTGTAGCTGAGACTAACCTTAAATTCCTATCTCCACCTCCAAAATGATGCAATTATAGGCATGTGTTACTATATCTAGCCAGGTTGGATTTTAAAATTGCATTTTTAGAGCTATCAATACTTGCCATGTGTGGTGGATCCTGTAATTCCAGCACTTGGCAGGCTGAGGCAGGAGGATTTTGAGTTTAAGGCTACCTTGGACTGCATGCAAAACCCTGTCTTAAAACAAAAAAATGAACAAACAAACAAAAAAAACTAGAAACACTTGGGTTTATAATTAATAGAATTTATATTAAAGTAATTGAAAACATTTTGTAAAATGATTATAGTTCACTAACATATTATTAAAATTCCTTGTTAACTTTAACCTGCATGAGCCTTTTATCTTCCAAGGCATAGCATAGCTACAAGGATTATTTGGTAATTTTTAAACACCTAACACTCACCCTTAAATTTGTTGTCCTTTGTAAAACTTTGACTTTTTCAGTTGCTATCATAATTAAGGAATTTCATTTGATATCTGGAAAACCTTATTTTTTATTTATATACAAATACAAATTTGAATTTTATATTTGAGTATATTCTTTCTACCACTTGCTAACATAATCTGTTTTTCAAGTATTAATGCACATTCTGTTTTTAAATGTCTACATATTGTTACATTGTTGATTTGGATCATGTAATTGATTTTTTTTTTTCATTTAAAAGACATACTTTTACTTTGTACCTTACCTACCATGGACTTGCTGTGTAAACCAGACTGGCTTTGAACTTCAGTGATCTTGCCTCTGCCTCAAAGTGTAGGCTTATGTTTATGTCCCACCACACCCAGCTAGATCACGTATGTAATTTGGTGATCTAAGAGACTAAAGTGCTTGTTTTTCTAGCTCCTACTAACAGTAGAAGTAGTTAATATCTCAGTATTATATTTAGGAGATAATTGTTACATAGCTTGTGTGAGTAGATGCGTTCAGGGATCTTCTTCTTTTTTTAGTAGTGGGATTAAAGGCATGGTGCTGTGCCTGACCTCAGGAGAACTTTTCAGGGAGAAAATGACCAATGTAACAGACTTTGTCACAAGTTATTTTCACATGTTTTAGGTTGAAATACATGATTTTTTTAAACTTGGAACTCTATGAGCTAGTGTAGTGCTGAACGTCTGTGGCTCCAGCAGTAAGAAGCTTAGCAGTGTGTGGGTTCACTACCAGAGCTGCACAGTGAGACCAGTCTCAAACAAAATCCAAATCCTTATTGGTTGAATGCCAATAACTTTAAAAATCATCTTTGTAATCTGTGAACTCAGGCGTTCACAGACTCATGAGTAAAAGATCTTTTCCTAGCATTTTATGAGTTTCATCTAGGCAGTGTTATTTGAACCTGTATAGTGCAATGTGTGTTGATGTGCTTTTGATTTGATTTTTAGAATGAAAATGTAATGTACTGAATAGCTTTTCATGCCCCTCAAATGATGGGACATACACTACATACACTCCTTAAGATATGATGAAAATATTCTGTTGTTGGCACATGTCATTAACTCATGCTTTGAGGAGTTTTGAAAATTTCCTTTAACATTTCCAAATATGAATACTGTACAGATAAGTAAGATAGTTTATAGGGATCACAGAGAATGTCATTTAGAATACAGTGTATGCTGATTGGGATGTCTCTGTTGTTCCTTTGTGTTCCAGGCAGAGAGGGTGGTAACATGAGGGTGTGCGTGCGTGCGTGCGTGCGTGCGTGCATGCGTGTGTGTGTGTGTGTGTGTGTGTGTGTGAATGAGAATAAAGGTATGCTGTATGAAATTCTGTTAAGAATTTGTGAAAATATTGTAAACAATAACCAACTATGCTCCTTGCCATGGTATCTCTGACCTTAAGATTTTCTTTTTATGAGATGAGATTTTTGCAGTGTTGTCCAGGTTGGTCCCAAACTCCTGGGCTCAAGGGAGTCTCCTGCCTCAGGTACAGATGTGCCCTATCACGCTAGCTGGTTTTTAGTGGTGGAGAAACACATGGGATATTCCCTGAGAAGAGAATAGCCTGCTGTTGGGAGCATGTTTAGAGTATAAAAGGTCACAGAGGAATTGCCTTCTGAAGGATGGAAACTTCAATAAGAAAAATAGGGAAATCGGGAATACCGTGCCAAAAGGAGTAACATATAGAAAGGAACAAAATACTAGATGTCCAGTGTGAAAATGTCCATTTGCTTAATGGGTCTGGTGCCTAAGCTCAGTCCTCCAGTTCTAGGGTGGGAAGAGAAGATAAACTGAAAGGTTATCTTCTGACCTTTCACATATGTGTCACGACATGTGTAAGACTACACTCACACATACACAGAAACAACAAAAAAGCTAGATGTGGTGTCCACACCCTTAACCCCCAGCACAGAGAAGCCAGAAGAGGCAGACCTCCGAGTTTGGGGCTAGCTTGGTTTATCTCATAATTCATGGCCAGCCAGGACCACATTGTCAGACTGTGTCAGAAAGAGAACAGAAATAGGATTCTAGCAGGGTGGCTCAGCCCAAGGTGCTCTCTGCTAAGCTTGATAACCTGAGATGGGGTCTCAGAACCCACGTGGTGGAAGGTGAGATGCCATCCTTTGACCTTCAAATGCACGCTCACACAGAAAATAACAGTGTGAAAAATGTCTCTGAAGTGTGAACTTTGGAAGTGATATTAGAAAAAAAAATGATAAAAATTAGAACATAGTACAAAATTTTCAATAGTGAGGGTTACCATGTGGGTTGGATGTAATGTCTTGGTGTACTGAGGTGAGGAAGATTCAGTATATAGAAAATCATGAAGTGAATCCCTCATTAAAGGGAAAAGAATGAGTACATTTTACCTCTAGTACATTTGTGACTTTCACTTTGGAATCACTATGTGAGAATTAAAAAATACTTGCAAATATATTATTTTAAGTCTCCTTTCTATTTTCTTACTATCTCTGAGTTCATCTCTATTTTTAATGACCCAATTTTGCATGTTAAGTTTAACTATAAGCTTTTTCAGATATTGGCGAGTCTGGTAAAAGAGAGAACACACCCACAGCGGGAGGCTTTGGAAGAGGAAAGGGTTTTGGAAACAGAGGTAATTTATTCTTGCAGTATTTTACAACCAAAATTTTAGTTGACTCCAAGGTTTGCATTTTTACTTTTTAGAAAATAAAACACAGAAAGTATGTGCCATGCTAGAAATGATGAGAATAACAAAATGTTCATTTAGGTGTAATAAATGTGTAGTATAAAAGCAGCAGTTTATTCTGCTTTGGGTATACACAGTGTTCTATTTGTCTTTAAAAAGATTTATTACTACTGTGTGTATGGATGCACATGACATGTACTACAGTACATGTGTGGAGGACAAAAAGACAACTTGGAGGCATCGGCGCTCTCCTGCCGTGTGGGCTCCGGGGCTTGAACTCAGGTCAGCAGGCTGCTGCAACAAGCACTGTTATCCTTTTCTCCACCTTGCCCTCTCCGCTTGCTTTAGTACCACTGGCTCACTCTACACACGAGCTTCAGTTCTTTCCCTCTGCTACTTCGATGGAAGTAGTTCCCATGGAGATTTCCCCTTATTCCTCAGTAGGAAAGGATAGGGGAACACGTGGTGCTCCTCTGTAGCGGAGCACAGGAAGACCAGCGATACTCAGGTGAGAGAACTTTCCAGAAACTCTACCCCCACTCTTCTTGGCACAGGGATGAGAGGAATAAGCAGCAGTTGAGGGTGGTAGAAGAGAGTCATTTTCTCGAGCACCTTCGTACATTGCAGTATTTAAGTGACAGTAATAATTTAAAACTTAGTGTTTTGTAGAAATAATGTGTTTTAGGGATTATGTCTACATTTTGAAAAGAAGTACCTGCTAAAGAATTTTTTTATTCTTTGGGTACATGCTTTTATATGTGAATTATGTATTAAATTTCCAGGGCATTTTATTACTGGGAGGACTCTTAATTTTGGTATAGTATATTTGAGATATTATAAAATGTACCGAAATGTTTTGTAAGCTTAGAATAGATCTGATGATCCGATAAAGGCAGGGATTGTAGAATACTTTGAATTAGTCTCATCCTGTCTCTGTGTACATAGTAATATATAGCTTATCTCATTTTGAAGGGTCTTCATAATTAGTTGTCCCTGAAAGACTTCTAAAGCAGGTTTTATGTGTATATGCATGTTCTGTGTGTTTCTGTACTCATGCCATGGAGGCTAGAAGTGGGCATCAGACCTCTTCCTGCTGGAGTTACAGGCATTTATGAGCCCCTGATGGAGTGCTAGATCCAAACCCTGCCTACCCACCCTTATGACAGAACATCAGCACTCTTAACTGCTGAGCCATCTCCAGTACTGAAAACAGTTCCCTCTCCCTCCCACCCTCCCTTGCT